AACATGTTTCGACGCACTCTAAAAATGTTTGGATGCTCTCTAATCATGTTTGGATGCACTTTAAGTATGTTTTGACGCACTCTACACATGTTTGGATGCACTCTAAAAGGGATTGGATGCACTCTAAACGAGGTTTGGTGCACTCAAAACATGTTTAGACGAACTCTAAACATCTTTGGATGCACTCTAAGTCTGTTTGGATGAACTCTAAACATGTTTCGACGCACTCTAAAAATGTTTTGACGCACTCTACACATGTTTAGATGCATTCTAAATGTATTTGGATGCACTCTAAACTAGTTTTTTTGCACTCAAAATATGTTTAGACGAACTCTAAACATGTTTCGACGCACTCTAAATATGTTTCATCGAACTCTAAAAATCTTTGGATGCACTCTAAGTCTGTTTGGATGCACTCTAAATATGTTTCGACGAACTCTAAAAATGTGTGGATGCTCTCTAAACATGTTTAGATGCACTCTAAGTATGTTTTGTCGCACTCTAAACATGTTTTGACGCACTCTAAAAAAGTTTCGATGCACTCTAAACATGTTTGGATGCACACTAAAAATGTTTGGATGCACTCTAAACATGTTTAGATGCACTCTAAACATGTTTTGACGCACTCTAAACATGTTTTGACGCACTCTAAAAAAGTTTCGATGCACTCTAAACATGTTTGGACGCACTCTAAACATGTTTGGATGCACTCTAAACATGTTTCGACGCACTATAAAAATATTTGGATGCTCTCTAAACATGTTTGGATGCACTCTAAGTATTTTTTGACGCACTCTAAACATGTTTGGATACACTCTAAATGATGAGGACATCGAAAGCAACATGGATTGCGTCGTCTTGCTGGATGAACCAATGACGAGATCAAAAGCGAGGAAATTTCAAGCTGCTCTAAACGGGTTCTTTCTTGACTATTTGGGCCAAGAACACATGGAAAATGACATTGGATCAAGTCACACACAAGTCCAGCCCATTTGCAACATGATATCAAGTGTAGAAAGCCCAAAATGAAGGCCCAAATGTTGCAGCCCAAGTCCATGACGAAAATGCCAAACAAATTCTGCAAATTCAAGTCTTCAAGCCTTTAATGTTGCTTCCAATCTACTCAAGTCAAAGTCCAACACAATTATGGCTTTGTTTTTCCAATAATTCCAAAGTTTTAGGAAGACTAGCACTTATTGTAGTTTTCTTATGTCTTTTGGTATTGTCTTGGTTCTCCTATAAATAGGTGAACTAATCTCACTTGTAAAACATCCTTGATCAATAAACTTGTGAGAGTATTCTCTTTTAGTTCTTTGTGAACTGTTTTGAACTTATCGGATTTCTATCCGTGGCGTTCACCCGACTTATCAAACGGACAGTCATAACCGTTTGTGGCGTCTTCACTATACCAAGGTTGCTAATCACGGTGTTAGGTCTAGGTCGAGGCAGTCTTTTAGACTTGTGCCAAGGTTGATTCCTACCGGTTGGTTAGAGGTCGCGGTCTCCACCTGCCTAATTAGAGCAAAGGTCCTCGGTTCCGAATTCAGTTTGTATCAGAGCTCATCTCTAATCTAGGTTTTATCTATCCTTTATCTATTTCAACTTTCATTTCGTTTCATTCTATCATCTTCTTCCTACTCATCTATTTCTATTCCATTTTTGTTTTCAAGTTTTGCATTTCTGGAAAAGGTTTTTAAGAAAAAAAAAGAAAAAGAGAAAAGAAAAACGAGAAAAAAAAAACAAATCAAAGAAAAAAAAAGAAGAAATCAAAAGAAAAAGAAAAAAAAATATTGGATTTGCAATTCATAGTATTAAAAAAAATGAAGACGCTAACTGTGAATGTGAGGTGGCATATAGGAGATTCAAATAAGGAAGACTCAAAATTCTCTCCCGTGATTTTCATATCTCCGATATACACCATCAGATTTGATTTAAATCAAATCTGTTAATATATGTGATTGAGATTGCTCCTCAAACGGTCATATGATGCTTGGAAATAAGCCTCTTCTCCATTCCAATGCTTTGACTTCTCCTCAAGGTTCACGTCATTGTTGGTCTTCTCCTTGAACAGCAAGTTATCATCGTCCATGATGTATAAGCCCAATATTTAGGTTCTTGATTATTAATCCATTCTAACATTCCCCCTCAAGATTAGTTTGGAGAATTATCGAAAAACTAATCTTGAATATTGAATGTATTCATGGTTGTATTGGGATGTCTTCAAGCATTCCATCTCCTTCCATGTAGTTTCTATTGATTTTAAAATTTTATTTTTCTGCATCAACTCAAGTAAAATATTAGCAAACACAAAGGAGGTCGTAACACTCCATATGATGATAAATCGAAATAAAATTGCAAGGATATTCATTTCATCAAATAAAAGAAGATAAAGACTCCTAATATATTTAAATACGAGTTTATACGCTAACATATCATGATATGTCAAATTATCATAAATAGTTTCAAATATTTCATCTCGGTTTTCATTCTTATTACAAACGAAATTAGACATGATTTTAATATCTATAGATTTATTTTCATCTTTCAACACACATTCATTTTTACCGGGATCGAAGACAAGCGTATTAAAAATAGATTTACCAAGCCTAAAGTTGTTCAAACTCATAGGTAATGTCTTCTTCGTTTTGTACTCGAATACTTGCATTGTGTCCTTTTTGGTAGAGAAGCATACGAGTGTACCATGCCATTCCCCCTCACTCGTAAGTTTCTCAACTCCATGAAACCTCATGATTAATTGTTGTATTTTCTGTTCATAAACACTAAAAACACCAAACATATCACTTGGAACACAAAAATCAAATGATACGGGAGAATAAAAGAAACTACAAACTTGGTTTTCTCTCCATGTGAAGGAGATGTTCGGATTCTCTATTATGATTGGATGAGGAATGATGGCAGATGCATGTGATGCCTCTTCTTCGGGGCTCATTGCCTCCACTGTGGGGTCATTCACTATCACATCCGTTTCTATTTCTTCTTTTTCCGAGTTTATTGCATCCAAGTCTCGGTCCTCCTCATGGTATTTGTCATCGATTTGCAGTTCTCCATCCATTTCGTCCTTTTTAACAACTTGAGATAGATTTTCTTTGCTTTCAACCTGTGCTTTTTGCATCATTTCAAAAAACTCATTAGTGTGAAACAAATTTTCAAGAAGAGAGACACTTAACTCAAAGTTGTTTGCATTGGCCGTTTGCACCAACGCCTCTTTGATTTGGAGAGGGAGTTGATTTAGGATGTCTTCGACATCCCATTCTCCATCGTGTTGTTCTTCCCCATATGGTTCGTCATCTACACACATGGCTTGAACTTCTTCTATGGAGAGCTTATTCCATGCGTCAACCTCTTCTTTGGTACACCAATATTGTTCTACAACACCGTTAGCATGTTCGATGTATGAACAATGATTTCCTTCTTCATCTTCAAAGCCATCAAGATCATCCCAAGTACACCTCATGTGACCTTTTAAGGATGAATATGGCGGATGAATAAGGATAAAAAGAAAGAAAAAAAACTCGAATTCTCCTTGGCTTGAAAGAATAGCCTAAAAGGGGTAAAATTTTAAAATAACACGAGCAGACTCCTTCTCGGTTTCAATGGATGCCGGAAGGGAATTTGCTTTGGTGTTTGCAGCGGAAAGCTAGACTTTTGACACCTTAGACCTTAGTGCTCTGATACCATGTAGAAATTTATGTATTTGGAAGTGATGAGAATGTGAAAAATAGTGGAAAAGAAGAGTGACGTGTTGAAGATGAAGAAACTAAAAAATATGGGACAATGTCCCTTTAGATTGTCTTATCTAAATCAATACACATACATGAGAATTTATACAAAATGAAATGAAGACGCTAACGGTTAATGTGAGGTGGCATATAGGAGATTCAAATAAGGAAGACTCAAAATTCTCTCCCGTGATTTTCATATCTCCGATATACACCATTAGATTTGATTTTAAATCAAATCTGTTAATATATGTGATTGAGATTGCTCCTCAAACGGTCATATGATGCTTGGAAATAAGCATCTTCTCCATTCCAAGGCTTTGACTTCTCTTCAAGGTTCACGTCATCTTCTCCTTGAACAGCAAGTTATCATCGTCCATGATGTATAAGCCCAATATTTAGGTTCTTGATTATTAATCCATTCTAACACCTTCGTCGTTTTATTCCTTGGTTTCTCTTGGTGAACGATTGCGGAAAAGATTTTCGATCTCGTTTGTCATAGTTCGATAAGAACCATATAGAGAATACTAAAGAGGGGTAAAAGGCAAGAGAGTGTGAGATCATTAGAGGGTAAAAGCCAATTATTGAGTGAAACACTTCTTTGAGTGAAATACTTGAGTGTGGTGAGAATATTTTTCTTCTTCTTTCTTCCTCCTTACTTTCTTTTGCAGAAAACATGGCGGAATAACAAAATCGTAATCTAGACAATCAGCAACATGGAGAAGCGAATCCACTCCAAATGCAAGCATTGATGGGTGAGCTACGGAGGATCATGCGAGCTGAATTGGAGGGCATCAATCAAAGGATGGATCGAATGGAAAATGGGGCACATGCTGCACAAAACCAGCCACGACAAAATGCTGGACGAAGAGTTCAAAATGTTCCTAGTGATGGAGAAGGAGCATTGTCGGATGAAGAAGAATTAGTTGAGCAGCCCCAAAGGCCTAGACGTGCACAACGGGCAAGGAATCATGTTGATGATGACTTGGGGAGTATCAAGATGAAGATTCCGTCGTTTCAAGGGAGAAACGATCCTAAAGTGTACCTCGAATGGGAGAGGAAAACGGAGATGGTGTTTGAGTGTCACCGTTACTCAGAGTTGAAAAAGGTGAAAATGGCAGCCGCGGAATTCAGTGATTACGCTCTTGTTTGGTGGGACCAACTCGTAATCACAAGGAGGAGGAATGGTGAATATCCTATTATTACATGGGATGAAATGAAGGCTGTCATGAAAAGAAGGTTCGTTCCTAATCATTTCCATCGTGATATACACCAAAGGTTACGGAAATTGGTGCAGGGAAATCAAAGTGTGGAGGAGTACTTCAAGGAGATGGAGATACTCATGATTAGGGCCGATATCGAGGAAGATAGGGAAGCTACTTTGCAAAGATTCCTTGGTGGTTTGAATCAAGACATTCAAGATAGAGTGGAATTACAACATTATGTCGAAGTTGAAGAACTGTTGCATTTGGCTATCAAATGTGAGCGACAGCTCAAGAGGAGAGCAAATTCACGTCCAACTTATAGCAAAGGATCATCTAGCATGAGATCGAGCTTTGTTAAGGAGGAAAAGTATGCCCCTGGATCAAAACAAGAAACAAAGCCAACCACATCAAACCAAGGGAATCGAGGTAAACCTGAATCTTCTACAGCACGCAATCGAGATGTTAAATGCTATAAATGCTTGGGCAGGGGCCATTTTGCTAACAAATGTCCCAATAGAAGAGTTATGGTGTTGCGTGATGATGGTGAGATAGAAACGGAGGCAGAAAGTGATACAGAATCTATGCCATCATTAAAGGATGATTTTGAAGAGCAACTTCCTGCCAAAGGAGAAGCATTGGTTATACGGAGAATCCTGAATCTGAAAGCCAAAGAAGAAGAGGTAGTACAGCGGGAGAACATTTTCTATACTCGATGCCTTATTCAAAACAAGGTATGTAGTGTGATTGTTGATGGGGGGAGCTGTACAAATGTTGCTAGTGCTACAATGGTGGAGAAGCTGAATCTACAACCGACAAAGCATCCTAAGCCCTATAGGTTGCAATGGTTGAATGATAGTGGAGAGGTGAAAGTTTCCAAGCAAGTAAGGGTTCCTTTTTGCATTAGAAAGTATGAAGATGAAATTCTCTGTGATGTAGTACCAATGCAGGCCAGCCATTTGTTGTTGGGGAGACCGTGGCAGTTCGATAGACGTGTGCAACATGATGGTTACAGCAACAAATACTCGTTCGAGTTTAAAGGTAGCAAAATCCGACTTGTTCCTTTAACTCCGAAGGAAATCTACGACGATCATATCAAGCAGGAAAACACAAATGCGTGGCAGCGATGTCTTGAGTGACCATGAGGTAGATCACCAAAATGGAGAGTTCTTGAGAAAAACCCAGAAACAGACCTTTGAGAGCAAACCCGAGAGGAAACAAAAGAATTTCTTCCTGAGAGCTTGTGAGATAAAAAAAGCTTTGTTTTCAAGTCAGCCA